TTACTGTAAGAACCGAGTGCCGGACTGAATTTTCGTTCCTGTGAGCTTTTCTGGCAGGACCTTCATAATGTGATAGATAAAGGGCGCTTCTGAGAAAAAACGAGATCTCTGGCTTTATTTCTGCAATAGGGCTTTTACGTACTATTGTATATAAATAGGAAAAATTAGATTGTTAGTAAGAAGGAAAGAACACGTAGTCTCAAAATTTGGTTGCTATTCTCACAAAAATACTCCCGCACGAAATTATGAACGGGTCAGAAGACAGGCATGAAGTTTTTTCTTCGCCTCAAATCTTCCACAGTCCGATTTTTTGCATGAGAACTAAACAACATGTATAGATCTGCTATAGGAAAGTTAGAAAAAGGGTTAGCTCAGGTCTATTCAAGCGTGTTTACACTTCTGCGGAAATTCATCCTAGGCATACATCAGGGTTGTCTGAATCGCTCTCATTGTCACTTGTTGGAGCACGAATATCGCCCCATCGTTCTTTATTCTAGGTCTCTCAATTTCTTTTTATTTTCGTCTTTTCTAGAGAATCTTTTGAGGATGGCGAAGTGAAGCAGCAAGAGGATTCGAAAATGAAGGAATCGTTCCTCTGAGCCAGTTTTCGCAACAAACATGACACTGACTATTGGCAAAGGTGAGTCATCAGATATTCCGTTAAATTGTAGAGAAATAGTTAGGATAAGGTGGAACAGATTATGGTTAGTTTCACAACTCCTGAACTGATTTTTTCCAGCGTTTCCTAGTATTTTCGAAATTTTTTCACAGGTATTTACTCATGAATTATGCGAAAAAAATTTCCCTAGGGTCGCTCTTCAGCAATAATGACACATTCACGTAATTTTTCAAAGCACCTTACGACTTCCTAAATAGAGAGTGCTCAAGAATAATATATGAGCCTTCATGTCCGAAATAAAGCTGTCGGTGTAAGCCGTGCCCTCTCTTCCGTGCTAAATTCAGGCGGTACTTGTGTGATTCCTTGGCCTTTGCAACTCATAGACCTGAAATTTCTCCTTCCAAGCAACTACGGTAACAATTTAGGATTCTTTTAGTCAGCACAGACGTTTTTGATCAATGTATTATGTACACCCGTGAGCTCGGTCCAGAGACCATCCTTGGGGATGGCTCTTACTAATGTATACTGTGGTAAATGAACTGGAAATGCACAACAACACATCCTATGAGGTATATTTATTAATGTATTATGTATAAATTTCATTTATATTTACATATCTATCTCTTCAATCTATATAGGATCTTTAATTTGTAGTTCTATAGTAGATACTCTTGGTTCCATATTGTTTGCTGACTTTTCATTCCGCCGTAAAGCATGTTCACGGGCTTTTTTGGTCATGAATAGTAGCTCAACTTCGTCGATTGAGCAACCGCGTGTTTCTGGTACGAAACAATAAACAAATATCAATGCAATAAATGTAAATCCAGCATACAGGAAGAATGTACCTGAAAAATTTTGAAGTCAGCTCATTTTGTTCCCAATCTCATGTTCAGCTATAGAGACAATCTCCTCCAATGATTAGGGGATGCGGATGAGGAGGAGGAGGAGTGGTCTGGGTGGTACGCGCACTCATTAGCAGGAGGGGGAGGAGGGGAAGCCGTCTGATGTGTCTTTCTCCCCTGACTATGTGCTTAGCTCGGACTTTTAGTTGGAGTGGAGCTATTATCTGGGCAAGTAGCCAGGGGATTTTGGTAATCTAGAGAAGGGGGAAGGCATGATGAAGGTATCTATAACGCTACTGGTAAGTTGTAAATGGGGGAAAAGGACTTACCATATTTGGTAATAGCTTGTCCAAGTGATAAATAAGTTAGGGCTATGATAAGATTGAATGTCCAATTGCATGCGGTAGTAATTGAGACGCATGTACTTCGAGCCCACAGTGGGTAGAATTCAGCATTCACTACCCATGGCAGTGGTCCATAACCTGAAGTGATACAGCTTTTATGGAATTCCTAATAATCTGAGGTCTTCAAATATGGTATAGGTTACTCAAGAGAGCTGATCATGTGGTCATTACGGACGCAAGGCTTCTCCAAAAAATAATCATGCTTAAAACAACTGAGAGTTAAGCTTCCTAATTGCAAATTATTTTCCAAAGTTGTTAGTGCTATCAGCGTAGAGTTGAATAGTCAGCTTTTTATGTGTGATTTTTACCAATGTCACTTTAAAAATAGTTCAGATGTGTGTTCCCAGCCTTCACTGTTCCCATTGCTCATGATAGTCCGCGAGCAATGAGAACAGACGAGCTAGTCAAACTGGCATGTTGCCGAAACTCAATAAGAGTGTGGGGACGTGTGTTAGTATCGCTTTCTGATGTCGGAACGCCAACTGCAAGTCTAGCGCTTAGGAGTGTCCTTAAATGCAACCGCAAGCGATGACCCTTGGAGGAACTCTTGGCGCATCCCAAGTAGAAGGTCAACGGCCGAAAATATTGTTTGAAAACTCTTGCAGCGGTGAAGAGCTATTTTGAGCATCCTAAATTTCAGTAGCTTTTTTTGAAGCAGAGTGACTATGACACTCACCCTACTGTAATAAGAATTAGTTACTAATGAAAGATATAGCTTACCACTTGAAAATGACAGTAAATAGAGAACCATAATTATAATAGGGAGTACTGTGTATTTTGTTTCACACGTTTTTGCATCCCATTGATACTTTGATCCTGAAAGTGCCCTAGTCAGCTTCGTAGCGAAAAGCAATCTGTCAAAGACAGGAGGTTAACTAAGCTCACCCATGGATTCTAGGGATGAACATGGACCCATAATAGAAACTGGGTGAAGGGTATCGGGGTGTTGATCCCGTTGAAGGCAATAACCTAAAAAAAGGAAATAAAAAATATTAAATGGTATGAGTCATTGAACAAGAAATGCGTACCAGTTTTCAAGCCTTTCACCGCACAGAAGCCACAGTTGTCATCAGTGACGCAGAAATCGCAGTTACTAAAAAGTTTCGAAGATTTTTTGATGTGAAAGTTTGACCGGAAGTGAGTTATTTTCGAAGACGTCAGCAAAAGTCATTTGGTCCGACTATGTTGGCTTTTCAGTCGGTCAGCCAATCAGAAGCGTTGCAAGGGGTTAGAAAGCTTCTGAATGGCTCACAAACTGTGGTGTGAACCGGAAAGTCCTGTCCCTCTCCTTCAATGCGGAATTCTTTTTTCTCACCTGTACTTTTCACAACGTTCCTCGATGTGGCTTGGATACGACTGATTTGTGAACGTCTGATTATGAAGAGTTAGAGCCGAATCCTTAAAAATGCTTTGATAGCTGGCTATGTAGAATGTGATGTGTGTTTCTCTCACAGAACACTCTGAGAAAGTACTCAAGCATTCACAGAACAGGAAAGTGAAGAAGGATTCGTAAGTCTAGGGAACAGCCGCTGTATGTACCAGCCCAGTTCTCAAAACACCTTTCACCACACTCACTCATTTTTCCATCGCTATGGCTTTTTCTTGCTCCGATTTTTTTTATGTCTGCTCTTGCCATGCATGAACCCCTCCTACCGAGTCTACTGAGAAGTGGATCTGATGCTCATATGTGGAGTAGCCACTTCTCCTCTCCTCGGAACCTTCCACTTTCCAGCAGGACCTCCCACTCTTAGAGGCTTTTGAAGTCGTGAACGTTCGTAGGTTCATCTATCCAGGCACCTACCGCGTACCGTATATTACCCCGCAACATTAGCGATGGAAAAACCATGTCGTGCATTCCCTTCTGAGTTCATAGAGATCATGTCCAATGCTTTGTATGGACCTAGCTGGTGCTTTGTCGTTATGGTAATAATCATGTGCCTTGGCTTGGGAGATTATCGCATTGCTAAGTTAAAAACAACTCCATCAGTTGATCTCATTCAGACAACGAGCTCATGGAATGGGGATTAAGCCAATTACATTGAAATGTTGCAGTAATGGCTCAACTGTGATCTCTCTTGAAAAGAGGGGCCAGCGACCCAAACCATAAGCCCTTCGAAAAGAAATCGAACCATTTACACCTCGAAAAGAAGCCTCAGTAACACTTTGTGATCGTGACATCTACTCCCTCGTATTCTTTAAAGAGACTGGCCATGAATCTACTGATTCGTCATCATGAACTTTAGAAGTCGATGCCACTCTGTAAGAGAGAGCAGATGACACCAGGTACTCAGTAATTCAGCTGACCTAATGAAGCCGGCGCACTCGTCCGCTCAGAGGCGTGACGGAATTGAGTGGCATAGTAGAGTGTGGTTTGTACCCTTGTTATATTTATTTCAAAAAAACCTCAGCTATAGAAGCGTCATGCACCCTCTTCCACTCGACCTCCTCCACTGAGCATAAACATGTTGTTTATCTACGCGCTTAATTTCTTGGACTCTGTATCTATAACAATCTTTTTGTGAAGTTCACTCACTTTATTGATAAGGATGAAAGCACCGCCCATTGCGAGAAGAGAAAGAATCACAAATGTCATGGAGATCATAAAAAGGACCCGACGTCCCATTCGTTCCACTAACGCGATCGGGATGAAGGTTCCGAAGGCGTTGACAGCTAAAAAAGTAAACTCGTCCCTAGACTCTGTAGCAACAACCTATTTTTGAACACAATTTTTTTCTGGTCTAGTACGGAAATCTGGACGAGAATATATTCATCTTGTAAGAGTTATTGCCAAATCGTTGATATCAACAACAAGAGGTTGCAATGTGAGTGTAGGAGTGGAATAGACCTCAGGGGTGAGCCAACGATTATGTTCCTGAAGGGAAGTGGGGGCCTGGCATGAGTAAAACGCAAGGTGATTCAAGAAATCGAAGTACTCTAAGGCTCAGGTTAGCCCTATCGTTTTGATGTCGTGGAAGTGGGTGGTTTAGGTTATGAATATCTCAGGTCAAGTACATGTCCCACGGGGGACGTATTACAGTATAGTGAAGGAGATATGACGGATTTCAAGGGAACACAAGTGTGTTCAGGTATTTCCAACCGCTTATTCACCTTGTTGCGATAGCACCTTGGCTTGCTGACATACTACTTTTCAAAGAGGTCGCTTGAGGCGTTCCTTACTATCAACTTTTCAGAACCCACTGGGAGAGGTGAAAAATTTGTGAGAACCAGTGAGGAGAATCGCGCTCGTATCAGTCCGAAACACCACTGTGAACAGGATTCAAATCAGCTCTACCTGAAGTGCCTACAGCGATCCATATCGTAGCATGGTTATCAGTCACACCAGCGGATTGAATTATGTTCGTTGTGTAGTACCTGAAGGTTAAGACGTAGAAATGCCAGCTGGGGCTTTCTTTTCTTACAAGCTTATCAAGAAAATGCCATGTCTTGTGCCATAACCGTGAAAACACATTTTTCACGTAGGATGGTGATCCGGATGTTTTGGTCCGGATTCGCAGGAAAACACTGACAATGACATTTACGTCGTGCGGAATGTCTGAGAAGGGCTTATCCACATATCTTATCATATCTCAACTTTTTACCCTCCCCTTACCCTGACGTTTCCTGGGAAGTCTGCAGAACATACTCCCAGGAAACTTCAGGGTAAGGGGAGGATAGAAAGGCCCAGACTTTTCTTGAAGAACGTCTTTGACCATAACAATTCCAATTTTCACAAAAGCTCAAAGCAGGTTTGATCAATCCTTTATGTATAGTGAAATTAAGGAAGTAAATAGTAGTAGGAGTAATTACCACACTTACATGACTGTATTGATACCGGATAGTTGCTGGAATGCTTGTATGACACTTCCAATAAATAAGGCTTTCAGAACATGAGGTGTCCGTATAATTCTCAATAGCATTGGACCATTCCCTAAAAGAAGACTATCATACCTTCTCAGGGAAAGAGAGTTCTACTAGAGCAAGTTTCACTTCTGTAAATGAACTAACAAGGTTAAACCATCACTGCACTGTTGAGGCTCCCACACGTCATACCAAAAGGCAATCGAAAGCTGACAGGGACTGTAGGGGAGGTGAGTTCGGAAAAGGTTTTGATTTATAGCGTTAACAATCGTTCCGTAGGTTTTGGTCAAGGAAGCGATCCAAGTTCGCATATGCTAAGCAAGAAATCAAGGGGTTTGAAATCAGAAAACCATGATTGCGATGCGAAGAACGTGCCGTACATGCACATACCACCCGTACTGGTACGGGAATGCTTCAGAAGGTTGGAGAGCTCGGGTAGAGGCGTTAAACCGAAATCTTTTCATCCCAGACCACCCCATTGGATCCTCACCTTTCTGGCAGGAATTCTAGTATATTTACCTCACCAAACTTGGGGAATTTCCTATTCTGTGGGAACTCTATTCGACGTCAATAAAATCTGAACACTCGCCGTTCTCTGAGACAGTAGCTCCCACGGAGCTGTTCCGGTGGTCAAATTCCCTTAACCTGAATCCAATTTGTTTTTAGTTTTGGCAGACAGTCTTTGCAGAGAATCTGTATTATCCCAACCGGCAATGGTGGTCCAATCTCCATAAATTATTCTTGTGGTTCGGTGGGAATCTTGGAAAAATTCTCATTTGTCTTGAAGGAGCCTTGACGATCGATCAGTTGATTTCAAATCAGGTGATCCGTTTGCAAACTCCGGGATACTCATAGGGAAATGATTTAAAATGCTTGGGACCACCCTCACTGCGGAGTTGATATGATGAGTATTAGTACATATATATGTCCTATCCCCAAGAATCTCGGAATGGTCCTACCGGATACGAATGGGGGTATTGAGAAAGTAAAATACGAATTTTGGAAATTGAAATGAACTGTGGTGCGAGGTTTGAAAAATACCAGTAAATAAAGGAAGTCATCAACCAACCTGCATGTTCCTCCTTTGCCATTCGCTCCATTCGATGCCCATGTTTGATTTCGGCCATTTCATACTTAACCCATTCTTCATCTCCGTTGTAAATTTTTCTCAGTACCTGAACTTCATTTATGAATTCCTAATAAGGGAGTGATCATGCCCCTTTTCCCCTTTACTTGAGTACTTCTTTCCATTACTGGTTCTATGTACCCTGTCTTAGTGCCGGAGCCCCAACATGCTCTGTGGAGTAGAGTTTACGATAAACGGTCAGTCAAAGGCAGTGATTGTATTAGGTGAACCGCTAGTTATTAGGTGTTTTCATTGAGTCTGACTAGGAATATCCATCTGGTAGCTGCATAGCTGAATGGGAAGTTTATGGTTGTAGGTTACGCCGCGTACAACACGGAGACGCGTGCATAAGAAGTGGATGGAGCGTTCTCACCGCATTCATATTTTCGGTAAAAGACTTATTCAAGTACCCACAGTGTAGGAGTAGGAAAGGTCATGCAAAAGTGAAATCGAATACTGAAAGATTATGGTACCGCTTCGGTTTCCTCTGTCCTGTTGTGTTCAAATAACCATCGAGGGCTTTCTGGCAAGAACAGGAAGCAGACGAATTGAATTATTGCTGGTACACCGGCAAATCCGAACATCAACCTGAAACAGTCAAAGTCTTCTGAAGAGTTCAGCCGCCTCAAAGGGCAACGATATAGGGCAACTGGACCGTTGGATGGGCATAAAAGCTCAAATATCCCGATTTTTACGAGGAGATTTAGGGCATCCGAAAAGGAAAGGGAAAAATCCTGCAGCATTTTTCGGATCTATTTCGCTCTTAAACCGACCAACCTTCTTGCCAAATGCCTGGCTCAACTGATATGTAGGTTTTTCGATTGAGAATTAGCTCAGGGATTCCTTCTTCAGTTGGGATTTGCACTACAGAAAGCATTTTAGAACTTGCTGGATGCAAATGCACGGATTAAGGCAAACGCGTTCCGAGCGTTTGGGAACAAATGATTCTTAATAGTCTATAAAAAGCAAAATAATTAATTAAACGGACCTCCATCCTACATTTACTGGATTAAGGTAGCTGAATCCAGCACCAACTACATTTGCTACCACCATACCGACCGTAATCATTAGTTGGAAGCCGGTAACCAACCGTCCACGAATGTGTGACGGAGAAGCTTCACTCACGTACACCGGCACGATCATTGAAGCGAAACCTGTGGAAATAATCATGAGTAAATGTTGATCTGATCAATGTTGGATCGTTGAAAGTAGAAAAACAGATAATTTATCCAGGTACATGTAGATCAATTGCTTCCAGTTTATAGGTGACCAGTCGGATCGCCCAGCTAACGCCGGGCTCTCCTCCTTCTTATGAAATGCCCGGCTACGCCGGGCAACCTCCTTTTCATATAAAGTCGGATCGCTGGCTAACGCCAGGCTATCCACCTTGTTGTGTCAAACACCCCATCCCGAGAAATGTTGAACTGAAGATTTTTTTCCCTTTTTCAAAGTAATAAATTTTAAGTTTTTTTCCGCTGTTCAGCTAAATTTAAGTTTTTCCGGAGTTCAGCTGAGTTAGAGTATGGAACTGAAACAGAGCTTGAAATAGAATATGTCGTCGTAGCATATCACATAGTCGCCCGGGCTTCCCTCCTTCTTTTACAAAGTTGCAGTGAGTCGGCTAACTCTCCACTCCATTTTTGTTTCCTGTACACGAAATTTGACA